CTCTCTCTCTCTCTCTCTCTCTCTCTCTCTCTCTCTCTCTCTCTCTCTCTTGGCTGGCTTGCCAACTCCCCTCGCTGATGCGGAGCGTATGCAATGAACACAGATCGTGAAGACAGACGTCAACAATGCAAGCCCAGATGAATGTCAACCAGCTGATGATTACCAATTGTCAAAATCGTATCCAGACAGAATGAGATGAGATAATCATACACAGACGAAGAGAGAGGAGGGAGATTAGACAAAGGAGAGGAAATGAATACAAGACCCACTCCTGCTTCGGGCTCCCTCCTCGATTACCACCTCAATAGTCAATAGTCTGAACGAGTATTTGAAGTAACCTCAATGTGCCATGTGGCACGTCTAATTAGTCCCTCATCAGCGCTGGAGCAATGTCGACATGAAGACCATCAGGTACGTATCTACGATCTCTCCACAGTCCCGATCTCCTCCCGAATGACGACAATCAGAACAGCAATACAAGTCACGTAGCTTCGCCTAGTTAGCAAACAGAAGAACACGTGGCAGCAGCCACGTCAACCAATGATACACGTGGCAGCAGCCACCTCAGCGATAGCGCATTGCAGTTGCCACGTCAGCATGCGAAGAAGACAGGTGCAAGCCAGCCACCATGCCGGACCAGCAGAGCCTCGCCGAATCACAATGCCAGCGTCGCAACGTCGAGCCAGCGTTGAAGTCGACGTGTGAAGTCAGCATCAACGCAAGACAGAATGAATGTCAAAGCCCGGGAGGTCAAGTAGCGTTGACTCAGGGTCTGGACCCCGGATGCTGCAACCTTTAGCCATCCAGATCTTGATACAAATGAAGGCCCGGATTGGCCTGAAACTGAATTCCCTTCAGCCTGGATGCTTGTCTGGGTAACTGCGCACAACAAGTGAGTGTATCCAACCAAGGGCCTGGGTGCGGTACCTTTGACTCTACAGTTGACTTTGACCCTTGACTTTCTTGGGTGCAGCGTTTGGTCACACAGCCAAACGCGACAGACTCAGGCCTGGGCGTGTCCTGGTCACACAGCCCAGCGCAGACCAACTTTGGTCTATGTTGCCTGGGGCTGAGTTTTGGGCCCCAGACTACTTCTGAACAGGGTTACTACATTCCTGCCGGCCCATTTTCGAGTTCCACCGCAGAAATTCTTAAGAATTTAACCCTCGTTCATTAGCAGCAACAATATCCGGAGCAGTTTCAAGTAGTTCTCTTTTACTAAACCATCTGTCCTCAGATGGTGCCTAAGACTTAAAACATACCTTGAACTGCTTCTGAGGTCGTCCACGTGCTCCCGTAGAGAAGTATCCATGCTCTATGATTCTGTCTACTTCATATCTGCCTTCCATAGATGGTGAAATCATAGAGGGTCTGTTTGGAAATTCATTCCCTTCTACATAGGGCAACAATTTGGACGCGTGAAAAACGGGATATGTTTTGAGACGAGGGGGAATATCAATGCAATAAGACGGTCCCTCTGCATCTCCTATTACTTTGAGAACTTCCCAGGGTCCAAAATAGACAGGCAGAAGTTTCTAAGACACATCTTCTTCTAAGGAAAACTCTTTGGACTTTACCCAGACGAAATCACCTTCCTTAAAGGTAGATGGTCGATGATGTTTGTTTGCTTGTTCGATAATCTGGTCCCGAGCTTTCTTTAAGTTATCTTTTACTTTCTTTATGTCTTCTTGAAACAAAACTGCATACTCTCGTGTCCCTGGAGGTAACCTAAGGAATTGGTCCCATGTTAATACATCAATGGGACGCCTAGGTTTCCATCCCTTGTGCAGTGCATTAGGCGTTCATCCTGTAGCGGTGTGGACACTGCTATTATATGCACTATCTATCTTGGGTAAGTTCTCATCCCAATCAATTTGATCAGGTCTTACATACATGCGCAAGAGCTGTTGGCACAATCGGTTCATTTGTCCACTTTGCCCATTCGTTTCAGGGTGTCGCCCTGACAACATAGTCAAACGTGTGTCGTATGCCTCCATCAGCTTTTGCCATGGCATACTTGTGAACTTGGCATCTCGATTTGATACAATGGATAAAGGAAAACCATACTCAGTTACCCATTTCATTTGAAATTTCTGGATCACAAGTTCAGTCATTGCTTCAACAGGCAAGGGAATAAACATGGCATATCTAGAGAAACGGTCCACAATGACCATTACTTGACTATTACCGTTGCGACTTGTAACCAGACTCGTAAAGTCAATTGAGATGGACTCACCTGGTTCGCTTGGTATCAGACTTAGAGGCGGACTTAAAGTTTGACAGGTGGCGATTTTGGCAATCCACACTGCATAGGGGAGATTCTGCCAAAGTCTACCTTTCTTTGGGCACTGACTTAGAGGTGGACTTAAACTGCATTCGCAAGAGAATCTTGAGTGAGATTGTGCTATGGAGGTTCATTCCCTATGCACTGATAGTCTAATCTTGAGAATTGACCCGTCTTGTGTTATAGGTCCTCTTCATCGTTTCGATTCAGGATTTGGACTAGATTCAGCTCAACCCCACGAGGATCATCTTTTGTTATCACTGATAACAGGTCGGTAGCCGACTCGTCGGTTTACGATTCAACTCCAATTCACACTCGCCAACTCAACCTAAAGGCTTTAGCCGTGTGGTTTGAACTGTTTCGTTGGATATTCATCCGGACTTTATTGAATGGCTATTTAACAAAGATATTGAGTGCCTTTTATTTATGGAAGGTTGGGCAAAGGCAGGGGTTTGTTTGGCTAAAGCAAGGGGTATGAAGTTGAAGTTGACCTCGTGTAGTCTGTGGGCTTTGGTTGAATCTGGATGTGATTGCAGGTATGTGGTTCTGACTTTGGATTTGACTGCCTGCACTCGTTTGTTATCCTCTTCTCCCTCTCTGCCTACGGTTTATCGAGCAGCTTTGTTTGACTATATATACCACGACTTCGCTAGCACCCTGCTACGGTATTCTCCGGTCAGGTCGAGCGGCAGTGGTCAGGGCCGTCACTACGTGGCCATGTTGTGCCTCTAGTGTCAGCGGCGTGTCTGGAGTGTATGTTTTGGTTGTGACATACCTTTCTTTGTGGTGTCTGCTTTGACTTTTGCCACAGTTACCTTGAGGGCAGTGGTTGGTAACCACCTCAGGGTATCTGTTGTCGGGCAGTCGTTGATGCTTAACCACAGTCGGGGTTAAGGTGGATTATCACTTGCATTGTAATCAGTTAGGGGATTTTGCAGACTGTTGAGGTTCGACCTCCGGATGAGTCGGTGAAACTCCGATGAAATAGTTTGCCGCAACCCCTCGTTTGTTGTCCTTTTCTCCCTCTCTGCCTACGGTTTACCGGGCAGCTCTGCTTGACTATATATATGGATGAGAGGAGTCCTGTTGTGATTGTGAGAAGTGATCGTCCCATATTATATACCCCTTTTATATATGTACATAAATATGCCTTGAGTATTCGCACGACCTATTGTGACCGTGCATAAGGGTTAAACAGATTATGTCTTGAGAGAAAGGGAGATCCTCGTCTATCTTTTGCTTTTTAGAGTTGCTATAGTTGGACGTTGGAGTCCGTAGCAGCCGTCAAAGTCAAACCCCTTGAGTTCTTTCCAAGCCCTGGATGATGGAGTTGGTCTCCAAGGCGATAAGAGGCGGCTGTCACCACAGGTATGAACCCGTGTACCACCCACTTTTGGCAGGGTGCAAAAGAGGGTGTGGTGATCAACCGCCTTGGCGGTTGTCTAGCGTCGAGAGATTAACCACTCAAGGCGCGTGTCAGCCGACACTTGAGTGTCGAACGCGACCCTCAAGATTATCAAGGACCACGTTATTATGGGTACTACATAGTACTCCATCATTGTGACCGCTTCCGTATGACTACATTGCTAGTCAATATGAGAAGGTCCTGCGTTCGCACGATTTTATACTAAGTTTCACGCGCGACGCCTAACCGATTTTCGCGTCGAAAGGTTATGGGTTGGACACTAAAGGGACTAGGAGTGTTGTTGTGTTGTTTAAGTGTGTTTTTAATTTATGTTTTAAAGAGTGGTGTAACACGTGGTGAGTGGGATGCATCCTAGTCGAATGACGACGAGTCGCGCTTGGGACTTCAGCCCTCCAATACGTCGGTTCGTGTGCGGGTCTGATAGAGGCGTGAGACCGCACGTACCCCCTATGCTACAGCATACGAGAAACGCCCTCGGCTGGCCCACCTCTGCGATTGCAACTAATTAGCTTTCGTACTGTGGACTGGTAGCTCGGCAGGGATACGCCCACCGAAGGGAGGTGACAACTCCCGAAGGTGGAGGTAAAGTTGTACCTCGTGTAGGCCCTATCCTGTCTTAGGGGCTCACGGAAGGTATGGTTGGCGCACTCGGCCGGAGCGGCTGCGGAAGCTCCATTTAAGTCTCGCGAGTAGACCAACTCCTGCGTGACGCGGCCGGGAGGGTCCCGCCCTGCGTGGGACCGATGCGCTCCACACCGTGACTGGTCAACAACCGATTTGAGGCAGGGTCCTTATGAATTTGTTAACCTTGCAAACAGGATGACGTGGCCATGTTGCTCTCCAATGGAGTTAACCGTGTGCTGGTTTTTCAACTTACAAGCCCTTAGAAGGGTTGTTTTATGAGCACCGCCGCTTGCAGCGACTGCAGCTTCTGATAATGTTTGGTGGTCAGCCTAGGGATTGTCAACCATGGCACTTGCACTAGGAGGTTCACCACACGTTGGTCGGTACCTGTCCTTGGGGGGTCTGCATTGCCATCACCCTTGTTGAGTTGACATAGGGACCAGAAACTACAGCATCAAAGACAACATGCATGCTCATTAAAGGCTAGGGTTGAAGAAACACTTCACTGCAGGCTCGAAGATGCTACGTGTTCCTTCATGTAAATCTTCGTTCTTCGCTGACCTCTATTCCTCCGGTCCTCTTCAGTTTTAATCGCTGGTCAATTCCTCTAACACTTCGTGTCACCTGCCAGCCTAGGTCAATGTCGGCTTCTCCTTCAAGCATCCCGCATGAAGATAATGAGAATCCACTCTGATACCAATCGCAATAATCTCACTTGTTAACTCCACTACTTGCAAGATCGTAAGTCCACACTGCATCACACTGCACTCGACACAGAAGATGCAAATCAACATGATTTGAGAATACAGAGGGAATTGTTTGGAAAGTCAAAAGTCGTATGCATCAAAGTCTCTTGCATGTAGAGCGGTGGATATGGCCGCCCTCCCTATCATAAAGGTAACACAATCTCTGTCTCCCTTCACTCGGGCCGTCTTCTTCCTCTTTGAATGTGTTCTCCCTCCCTCTCTCGTCTCACTCACTCAAGTCCTAAGCTACGGGCGCCGGGAGAAGTCAACTACCCTACTTGACTCTCTGTCAGCCTCACTCGAAGCGTGCCCCCACAAGACCATAACAGCGCTTCGGTGCCATGCTGGAATGAAAATTGTGTTGTCGTCTGGGAGCTGTCGGACTTTTGTACTTGTTGCAGCTCCCAATGTTGGACTTTCCAGTGCCAGTCCCTTAGTTGTCAGTCATGGGTTGCTTTGACATTTCTGGCAGTTAGGAGACATCCCCATGACTGAGGTGGTATTTTGGGAACTCGATTTTTGGCTGGACTGGCAAGCCTGATGACCTACCAGACTACCTGTATGGATTGAACGGTACAACCCTAGGCGGCTGCCGTACACTAGGCCTACCAGTTGCGACTATAGTACATGCGACACCGGAATTTTGGGTTCGGAACTGGGACTTAGGCCGAGAATCGTGGGAGATCCTTTTGCTAGCAGTATTGAACTTGAACATGTGGCATGCCCTGTTTCAAACTGTTGTGTGGAGATATTTTTTCAATTGTTTGTTTTTAGTTTCATGATAAGAATTTCAGCCCAGTCGTCAACTTTGATTTCTTGGGAAGGAATAGGCATTTACAATATTGTCAAGTGGGGAGTGGTTGATATCAGGCACCTGCGTCATGAACTCATAATCTTCAGCATGTGCTCAGTGGTTGATACTAGTCATCTGCGTCATGTAATCTTCAGCATGACTTGTGTGTTTAATGATAGGTTCCTCAACAGTGTCATGTATTTGATGAATTTTGTGTGGGTGGTGGTGGTGAGGGTCGTGGTGGGAATTTGAGATCAGTGTGTATTCTGTCTCTTATACACATCTAGATGTGTATAAGAGATAAGTGGTTGATACTAGTCATCTGCGTCATGTAATCTTCAGCATGACTTGTGTGTTTAATGATAGGTTCCTCAACAGTGTCATGTATTTGATGAATTTTGTATGGGTGGTGGTGGTGAGGGTTGTGGTGAGAATTTGAGATCAGTGTGTATTTGATGGACTGCGAATGTGATGCATAATGCAGCTTCACAGTGTCACCGGTAGCTGATGAGAACTGATATTACATTTGGGTGCTTTCTGTTCCCAGGTATGGGCAGGTTGTCTCGGAGTTGGACCAGACAGTAAACCCTTAAAAGCTGATTTCAAGAATCTTCACACGTTAGAATTTCAGGTATGCCAAAATTGTAACCTCTGCTGTGAAGTTATGAGCCAAAGTCTCTCTCTCTCTCTCTCTCTCTCTCTCTCTCTCTCTCTCTCTTTCTCTCTCTCTCTCTCTCTCTCTCTCTCTCTCTCTCTAGATGCCATCCTTGTGAGAGAGACTCTCTCTCTCTCTCTCTCTCTCTCTCTCTCTCTCTCTCTCTCTCTCTCTCTGTGTGTGTGTGTGTGTGTGTGTTGCTCTCTCTCTCTCTCTCTCTCTCTCTCTCTCTCTCTCTCTCTCTCTCTCTCTCTCTCTCTCTCTCTCTCTCTGTTGCTCTGTTTCGATGTCATCCTTGAGAGAGAGAGAGAGAGAGAGAGATGAGAAAGATTGGATTCTCGGTGTGAATGGACCTTATTGTTTGGCCAAACAGATTTGTAACTTGGTACATGATATTTGTATTAATTTGAGAATATCCTCGAAGATAGAGCTTGGCGATAAAGTGAAATTCTTGTCTACACTTATCAGTCTTGGAAAAACCAACATTACAATGGAAGCACCTATCTCTGATATGTGTGTGTGTGTGTGTGTGAGAGAGAGAGAGAGAGAGGCGTCTTGCAACTTTTTTTTTTTTTTTTTTTTTTTTCCGCTACCAATAGACGTGATATTACCTTACTGGTTATCTTGAGTGGATGACAATGAATGTATTTTCCGAAAACTTTATCAGCACAGAAAAAGCTCCAAGAACAAGATGCACTCCACGCGACCAACAGATCTACTATTGAAGCCCTAGAAACAGAGACAGAGTCGCGTGACAACTAGATTGTCTTGCCAACAATGATCCCTCATCTCTGTCAGGGATACCCTCGCATTCTTGCTTACCAAAATACTGTAGGGAGCCTGAGCTGCCATAGCGGGTTTCTGACCACGCACCCTTGGATCTTCGTGGAATTGCGATCACAATGGGTACAACTCAACTTTGCTCGTCACCGGATCTCTCTTACCACGTGACCAGTAGCGTTCCCACCGCCCCTTGTTGCACTCAAAGTGGCGCCGCTGCTAGTAAATCTGTAAGTTTCACCCTGAATCTCACGAAAAACCGTCTCCCTCCCACAATCGTAGCTGATGTATCAACAATCTCAGAACAACTGCAAAGGCTTCAACAAATAGTCTCTCCCTTCCCCAGTTGGCAATCAGAGAGTTGTGCTGCCAGGCACCCTAGAGCAGAGGCATCTACTACGCATTCACATTCCAACCATCATGCATTAATCCGGCCTGAAATACAACCAGGTTCCGAGCATATAAAGCAAGTCTAAACATCAGCACTCAGCAGACTTCCTACTACCGATTCATCACTTCCCTGCAGCCTATTGAGGTGTGTGCTAAAACGAACGCTGAGGCCCTTCAGCAGGCCCGAATACAGTCGGATTTCCACTCGGCTGTGGGGACGAGCATCCAACTTCAAGACAGCGACGACCTACTCACTACCATGAACCGTCTCAGTCCTGGTTTGCTGCAACAACTGAATTGCAAAAGATGGCCAGACAAATATCAGACGCCTCTCACCAATTACAAAGCTGTAGAGACGGGCATGGGGCTTCAAAAACAACGACAACACTCCAACAAACAGCGTAAACTAACTACAAGCTATGGAAATACAAACACAAGCTAAAGAAGTAC